TCCCCCCTCTCGCTCTCTCTCTATCTATATATAAATGTTTTGCTGCTGCAGCCTCTCCTGTCTCTTGCTCTCGGGGTGAGGGAACTGTCATGTCTGCCTCTTCTCTTCCTGCAGTTTGCTCTGTCGGATTAAATTTCTCCATTCACAGTCGGAGCAGGTAAACCTCGCGCCATGCTGTGCCTTAGAGGGACATTGACCCCATAGCAAACTCTCACTGCAAGTGCTGCTGTAGCTGACTTTAAAGTGCACCTGTCTAAAGGCAAAGTGGTGTTTTTACTTTTTGTATATTTTGACCAGTGTCATTCTTCACTCTTCCAGCTCATTAAGCTCCTCCCTCATATATGATCATAGAAGGCTCAGTATATGGATGAGTTTGCTGTATTTATGTTATGAGATGCTGAATAACAACTGTGATTCTCCTCTAAACCAATCAGAGCTGCCATGATAAAAGACAGACATGGTTGGGCGTTGGGCTGATTTGTGCCGTAAACATTTCACTTTTGAGATAACAAATGTTTTACTTAGAACAAAGTACAATATTTTTGGACATACAACCATGGCTGGAGCCCGTAATGCTGCGAGGTATAAGCCATCCAGTCACCAACCTGACCAGAACCAATGTATCCCCAGAGCCCTGAAGAAGCCCATTTACCCCCCTGAGATGTGTCGGCGAGTTCCCTTATCCTTGTTTCCAAATAAATATATGAATCCTTGATTAGTTATTTCATCGCTCCTCGCCCACTCTTTCTGCACGGTGGGAGCCAATCCTATCATTGCTAACTCTGGTCTCGGCATCTAGACTCCATATCACACCTAGTGAAGCAACACTGTATCATCAACCATCCAACAGCCATCCAATCACAGTTCAGCTTACTGTAGTCACATGAGCAAAAAGCTGGAATCTGGTTGGTTGTTGTAGGTGCTTGCACTGCAATTTTTTGTTATGTTTGTCTATATCGGTCATGGTGCCGCGTTGTCTTCCTGTGCGTGGTCACAGAACGCCGTATCTGGCTCGCGTTTTTATCATTCATTTTCATATTTATTACCTAAAACCAGAACAAATATCACAAAACAAAAGCCGCGGCTACAGTGCAGGTAAATGATGGAATTTCTCTTGTTTTGGCGGCAGGTGGCTTGGAATTCGTGTGGAGTTTGTTGGGAATTGCGTTGTGCTCTTTGCGGCTCTGTTTGCAGTTATCGGTAGAGAGAGTCTCACCCCGGGGATCGTCGGTCTCTCTGTATCCTATGCATTGCAGGTACAAAATATATATATCTATATATGTGGTTGTTTTTGTTTTACAAAGGACATTGTATAAAGGGAGATAGAGAGATACAAAGTAACATTGTTTATAAACATTGATCAGAGGAGATAGAGAGATACAAAGTAACATTGTTTATAAACATTGATCAGAGGAGATAGAGAGATACAAAGTAACATTGTTTATAGACATTGATCAGAGGGAGAGATAGAGATACAAAGTAACATTGTATATAAACATTGATCAGAGGGAGAGATAGAGAGATACAAAGTAACATTGTATATAAACATTGATCAGAGGGAGAGATAGAGAGATACAAAGTATGTTTGCAGATTATGGAGATGAGCTTCTATCGTCATATTTTTCTAAATCGGCTAAATATTTTATGTAATAATTGGTTCACCGTCTTCACTCTTCTATACCAGGTGACGATGTCACTTAACTGGATGGTGCGGATGACCTCTGACCTGGAGACGAACATTGTGGCTGTGGAACGTGTCAAGGAATATTCCGAGACGGAGACAGAGGTCAGCGGAATAAAAACGCTTTGCCCTGAATTGCACAAAATCATCTTTTCCTGTCTCAGTGAGCGTCTCTCTTCCGTCATATGTGAAGTCATTATCTCCTTGTTTCCAGGCTCCCTGGAATATCGATGATAAGAAGCCGGAAGAAGGTTGGCCGAGTAAAGGTGAAGTGGAATTATCCAACTACTCCATCCGGTACAGACCCGGCTTGGATTTGGTGCTAAAAAACTTAAACCTGAAAGTCAAAGGCGGAGAGAAGGTAAAATCCCATTTCACTGCCATGTGGAGGTTTTATCATGATAATATAAAGAGCCAGAAGACCAAAAACAATAGCAAAAAACTGTTTCTTCATATAACGTTTATGAGGTATAATATAATATAATATTTCACGTATGCTGAGATATTGGAAGAAAAAGTACAAATGGGTCTCGTGGACCAGAATATTTGTGTGATTTGAGCTTTATAGGAATCTTATAGACTTTATGGGCCATATGTATGTGAACCTCCCTCCCAATGATGGGGTTCAGGGGTCTCCAGTGACGGGGTTCAGAGGTCTCCAGTGAAGGTTCCGGTCCTCCTCCATCATACAAAGACATGGGAGACAATTGTTCTCTTCCGGCCTTGTGGTGACAGTTTGGTGAAGACCCTTTTCTGTCCCCCCCCATGACTGTCCCCCGTGTACACTGCCCCCTGCACAGAGCCCTGACCTCAACCCTACTGATCACCTTTGGGATGAGTTGGAACGGTGACTGTGAGCCGGGTCTTCTCATCCAACAGCAGGACCTGACCTCACCAATCGGACAAATTCCCACAGACACCCCCCAAAATTTTGTATAAAGTCTTCCCAGAAGAGTGGGGGATGGTATAGCCACAGTGGGGACAACCCCACATTAATGGTCATGATCCTGGAGTTGGGCGGCTATTTATATATATTTCTCCACTTTTCCGATTATTTTTGGGAGAAACGCCAAGTGCCATAAACTCAAATTTCCGTGAATAATTTCCACTGTTATTATGCAAACCGAAAATTTGCTTAAGATGTGAACATGATTGTAACTGATGACAATATAATAATAGGGCCCTGTAAAGGAGCACTGGTGTGTCACATGACAGATGGGTGACAAACGGAATAATTTGGGATTTGTGATCATTTTTTGGAATTTTCCAGGTTGGAATTGTGGGAAGGACAGGAGCCGGAAAGTCTTCCATGACGCTGTGCCTCTTCCGGATCCTGGAGGCGGCTGAGGGGATTATCACCATTGATGGTGTAAATATCTCTGAGATTGGACTTCATGACCTTCGATCTATGCTCACTATTATCCCGCAGGTAGGATGGTGACAGTTTGTGAACGCTCATTCCTCTGACGTATCTAATCAGTAATCATTTCTGCCTGTTCCCTGATGAAAGGTGTAATGTGATCGCTATTGGTCAAATGTACTATTAGGAAAATTCCTCGTTATGGCCACTAGATGGAGCAAAACGCTTCGCATGCTCCTTGGCGCCACCTAGTGGCCATAATGAGGTATTACATTCCACCTGGAAGGAGAATATGCTGATAACATTCTGCAGGGCGAATGTGAATTGTGTATAAATGCAAATGTCCAAACACCTGTAGCACACCTTACCGGACTTCGCCTAAAGTAAATGGGTGCTCGCAGTGACCGCGGAATGGTGCCGCGTCAGGCAAAGATTGTTGTGAAGAGATGTCACCAGCACACCAATATGACAAACACATGAAAGTTCAGTGAATCTTCATTTTTATTTTTCAGAAGTCACTTAGTGTCAAGCGCTTTCGGGGCCGCGCAGGGTCCCCTTTATCAGGCTTAAAGTGAACCCACTCACTTCTTTAAGCCTAATGAAGGGGACCCTGTGCGGCCCACGAAAGCGCTTGACACTACTTTAAAGGAGAAGTACGAGGTCGGGGCTTTTCCTCCATAGTTCTCCTCGGGGTAACGGGAGGAAACAAACTAGCGTCCTCCCGTCACCCTAAGCTCAGTATATAGGGAGCTACAGCTTGCGGAATACTGAGACGCCGCTTGTGAGAAAATGAATGAATGAATGAAAACCAAATATCTAATTCAAAATTGATTATGTATAAACATTAGAATAACTAGTTACACCTCCACAAAATATTATAAATCAAACAAAGAAGTGAAAAGAAGTCCCAAAGGCCCACTCTTTCTATCTGTAAATTGTGTCAAACTCCAAACAGTACAAATGTCCAAACACCTGTAGCACCGGACTTCCCATAAAGTAAATGGGTGCTCGCAGTGACCACGGATGGCGCCGCGTCAGGCAAAGATTGTTGTGAAGAGATGTCAAGACACTACTTTAAGTGACTTCTGAAAAATAAAAATGAAGATTCACTGAACTTCGATGTGTTTGTCATATTGGTGTGCTGGTGACATCTCTTCACAACAAAGCTTGTTTATAAATGCATCCCTCTGCGTTCCCGCCATGTACGAGGCTTCTGTGTCTTGAATATATGACCAGCGCACAGCGCGGGCAATGTAGTAATGGATTGTTTTTTCTGTGTGGGCGTCACGGCTTGCAGGACCCGGTGCTGTTTTCGGGCACTCTGCGGATGAACCTTGACCCCTTCGATAAATACTCTGACGATGAACTCTGGAAATCGCTGGAGTTATCCAACCTGAAGAAGTTTGTCTCCAGCCAGGCCGAGAAACTGGACTATGAGTGTGCGGAGGGCGGAGAGAATCTGAGGTAACGTTGTGACCAGCATCAGAGATACATTCGCTCCGGGAGATTGAATTGCCTGCAGATCCTTCTGTCTATAGGCAGAGGCGTATTTATCATAATGGTCCCTCATGGGCGGGGCCTATAGCCAATGGGATAGAGAAGGGGCAGCATTACAAATCAGTAACAGAGCTGTAGGGGGTGCAGGGAATGGTCAGAGGTGTTACAAGACTCTTTATTGTTCAGGAAGCATGAAACCATATTGTTTTTCATTCAGCTTGTATATACAGTTGTGTGTACGGGAGATTGTAGATGACGGTGCTCTCACACACGCTCTCCCCTTCCAGCGTTGGTCAGCGTCAGCTGGTTTGTCTGGCCCGAGCTCTTCTCCGTAAAACTCGCATCCTCATCCTGGACGAAGCCACGGCCGCCATTGACCTGGAGACGGACGACCTCATCCAAATGACCATCCGCACACAGTTCGAGGACTGCACGGTGCTGACTATTGCACACCGGCTCAACACCATCATGGATTACACCAGGTACGCCGCCGCCGCCGCCATTTACATCCCATGATTTCTACTCTCTTGCAGCACAATTTTGCCCTG